GTGTATCAAGTGAATGCATATTCTCGCCGCGTTGACCTATACCCAAAAACTCTGAAGATCATAAAAAGCACTTCCCAAGTGATTCACGTGTTATTGTTTATAGTAGGTTTACAGCAGGATGGGCTTGGTAAGAAATCACTCAGGCTCTACAACATGCAAGTCTATGACTGAGTGGGGAAGTGGGATTTAATTACTGTAGAAGGTATTGATTACCGTGTTATTGTTTATAGTAGGTTTACAGCAGGATGGGCTTGGTAAGAAATCACTCAGGCTCTACAACATGCAAGTCTATGACTTAGTGGGGAAGTGGGATTTAATCACTGTAGAAGGTATTGATTACCGAAACGTATCACAAATGCCCCCCCCCCCCACGTGGCGCCGCCACTGCATGAACACCTTTATATGTGAATCCCGAATAACGATTTGAAAAACGAATAACAAACAGCTCATTATTCGCTGCTTGAATAACAATGTGGACTGTATTTTGTCAAGAGGTCGTTTTGCTGTGTTTTATACTACTGGGGGATACTTGGCATCCATCATTCTAGTCATGGCTAGCTGCATATTGGAATCCCGAATATAAAGTTAAATAACGAATAGTACCTCGTTATTCGCCAATAACGAGGCAAGTCACCTCGTTATTCGTTATTCGTTATTCACTGCTAGGGGATACTTTGCAATCCATTATTCTATTGTTGCCTAGTGATCGTTTTGAATTAAATCCTGAAATATCTTCATTAAATGAAATGAAATGAAATGGAGTTTAACGTCCTACTGTTCTGTTCCTAACCTGGGCTAATGAAGACGGGCATACGCCATACAGTGTGCTATGAGGAAAATTTTGCCCGGACAGCGGCACTACGGCCTACTCTTATATCGAATTCTAACTGCCAAGGGATCTTTTACGTGCACGCCAATGTGTACACGGGACCTCGGTTGTTCGTCCCATCCGAACGACTAGACAGCTTTCCTTGTCAGCCTGCATCACTGACAAGGGAGAACCAATGCAGGGATCGAACACCCGACCTCCAGGCTAGCGAGCTAGCGTCTTACCCACTTAGCCACGTGATCCCCATCTTCATTAAAGATACATGAACACCTTCATATGTGAATCCCGAATAACGAGGTGAAAAACGAATAACAAACAGCTCGTTATTCGCTGCTTGAATAGCAATGTGGACTGTTTTTCGTCTAGAGGTCGTTTTACTGTGTTTTATACTACTGGGGGATACTTGGCATCCATCATTCTAGTCATGGCTAGCTGCATATTGGAATCCCGAATATAAGGTTAAATAACGAATAACGAGGTAGCTTGTACCTCGTTATTCGTTATTCACTGCTTGAATAACAATCTGGTTTATTTACCGACTATACGTCATTTAATAAGATTTCTACTGCTAGGGGATACTTTGCAATCCATTAATCTATTGTTGTCTAGTGATCGTTTAGAATTAAATCCTGAAATATCCGCATTAAAGATACCTGAACACCTTCATATGTGAATCCCGAATAACGAGGTGACAAACGAATAACAAACAGCTCGCTGTATATTTGAATCCCAAATAAAAAGTTGAATAACGAATAACGAATAACGAGGTAGCTTGTACCTCATTATTCGCGAATAACGAGGTGACCACCTCGTTATTCGTTATTGGTGAATAACGAATAACGAAAAACGATTCAACTTCTCACTGCCTTCGCAGCTTTCACATGAGTTCTAGCTCGGTTAAAGCCTTTCCAAGTCCAGCCATCAATTATCAAGTCGGAGTTACCAGTTAAATGGGTTTCGTTCACGCTAACAATATCTGCTCCTACACAATTAATCGGTTCACTTCGTAACAGGTTGGTAGATTTTGTCCATCCACAAACATTAATGTGACCTAATTTAATTAAAACATCACAAATACCTTTTTGCTATAAACCTACTGAAGTTTCGTTTTGTCTTGGGTCGCGTTTACTCGTAAGCTATCACCCTTATTTACATGTTTCACTACACCCCTGGCATTGCTTTCAATTAGCCTTTCTATGCGAGATTTTGATGATTTAATATACACATCTTTATAAGCTGTATTCCTGCGTTTTAATTTGTGACGTGAAACTTGTATCTTCTGTTCTAAAGTTTCAAAGCCCACTTTGACAATACCAGGTTTATCACCCCAGCTTGATTCACGTAGGGTCGCTCTTCTAGCTCATGAATCTTTGACTGAAGTGATTGAATTATTGTAGAAATATTGATGATGCGGACACTTTCGGCGGCTATGTCTATACCTATTTCATCTTTCATGGTCTTCATTTTTATACGCCCACATGAAAATATGGACGTATATTGCCGTCGCCCCCGTCCACCCGTCCGTCTGTCAGTCCGTCCGTCCACAATTTTTTGTGAACGCTCCAAAAGTTTTTATCCGATTGTTTTAAAATTGATATATGTGGTTTACATTAGTGAGATGAAGAAGCCTATTTAATGTCAATAATTTATGTTTATTACGTCTAGAGTTATGGCCCGCGTTTCACTTTTTTGAACCTTGTGAACGCTATTATATGCGTTATTTAAATTAGTGAAATAAAGAATCCTATTGAATTTCACCAATTTCCGTGTATTGGGTCTAGAGTTATGGTCCTTGTTTCACTTTATTGAAATTTATATGAATTATTTAAATTAGTGAAACAAAGAAGCCTATTGAATTTCAGCAATTTCCGTTTATTACGTCTAGAGTTATGGCCCATGTTTCACTTTATTGAACCTAGTGAACGCTCTAACGCCAAAAGTTATCACCCGATCTTTGTGAAATTTATGCATGATTTAAATTAGTGAAACGAAGAATCCTATTGAATTTCAACAATTTCCGTTTATTACTTCTAGAGTTATGGCCCTTGTTTCACTTTGTTGTACTTTGTAAACGCTCTAACCTCTGAATAATATGTATATGTGCCATTTAAGTTAGTAAAAAGAACAATCCTATTAAATTTCAGCAATTTCCTTTTATTACGTTTAGAATTATGGCTCGTTTCACTTTATTGAACCCTGTGAACGCTCTAACGCAAAATGTTATCATCCGATCTTTGTGAAATTTATATGCATTATTTAAATTAGTGAAACCACGAAGCCTATTGAATTTCAGCAATTTACAATAATTATTTATAGAGTTATGGCCCTGGTTTCACTTTGTTCAAACTTGTTAATGCTCGATTAATGAAAGTTATCATCCGATATGTATGAAATGTATATGCATCATTTAAATTTGTGAAACAGAGGTCTATTGAATTTCAGCAATTTCTGTCAATAATTTCTAGAGTTATGGCCCTTGTTTTACTTTGTGAACCTTGTGAACGTTTGAATGACAAAAGAGAATATTCGATCTGTCTGAAATTTATATGCATTATTTAAATTAGTAAAACGAAAAAAGCCTGTCAAATTTCAACAATTTCTGTAGACTACTTCCAGAGTTGAGGCCCTTGTTTCAGTTTGTAGAACCTTGTGAACCCTCAAACGACAAAAATTATAATATGATCTGTATGAAACTGTCTTGTAAAGGCCCCCAATTACTACAAAGGAATAAATATGCGACAACTCTAATCCACCGCTCGGACGATTAAGCTGCTGTGGGCATATGTTTCGTTGCCTGGCAACCTTTCTTTGAGTCAATAGTAGATAATAAGTCAACCCCCATGGAGTTAATTTTGGCTTCAAGAACATGCCACATCGTCTCTTGATTTCTTTTAATATCGGCCATACCTATCATCAGAAAATCTAATTTTTTAGACAGTACCCCACTCGACACCTCCTTGTTTGGCGAGTCGTCCATTTTGTTTATTTTGTTGTCTGGTTTCGGAGTCTCACCTTCACTTTCTCTGTCTCTCCTTTGTCCCCGTTTAGTCTCACTTGATGTATCTGACATAACGTTGATAGAATATTCAAATTACTCACGGTTGCTAAGAATTCTAGTTTAGTTATACAGTAATCCTTAAAGAAGTTTCATTTTATATAAATGACCACAGTATTCCATAGAGATTTCATTTGGATGAATGACCAAGTGGGTCACGGATGAGTAACACCTAGAGCTCAGTTCGACATAACCAGAAAATACCTCATGGCTGCCATCTTGAATATTTAAATTTCCCCAAGGGTGCCAGGGTGGCATCATCCGGATTCTGAACCTACACATACTGAAGATATATAATCCATCAAAAAAACATTAGATGGACTATATTTCCAGGTTTGTCGAACTGCTGCCGGACTATTCTTTGTATCTATAATATTTTTGCATATTTGACCCCAAAAAATAGCCGATGAATTTATTTGAAATAGGTCAACTTAAAACACGTAAATTTATTAAAACAATACTTTATTATTTTTAAAAAAATTGGTCCGAGTTGTCTTCTGCCTTTGCCCAAGTTGTCTATCAGTCTTTGTTCCGAGTTGTCGCCTTCCGCTTATAGACTCATAGCCAGGCGAAGGCAAGAAATATCGCTCCGCTATGAGTTAACAGATCGAAGCCAAGAAGGCATGAAATGAACAAGTCGAAGCTAAGAAGTGACTCGACTTTTGGCTTCGCACTGATTATTTCTTGCCTTCTTGACTTCGCCTTCGCAAGTTTAATTTTAATTCAATGGTATTATATACGTTTTGTCAGAAAATCTTATTAAATTGCATTTATAACGGTAGCAAGTAATCGGCAATACTATATAGCGGAAAACACCGGAAAACAACCGGGAAACACCGGAAAACATCCGGACACCGGAAAACAACCGGAAAACACCGTTTTATACTGAATACCTGAAAACACCGGAAAAACACTAAATACCGGAAAACCGGTAGTTTTCCGGTATAAAGTATAGCCCAAGTAATTCATACCTACATTTACTAAAACACTGATCAGTTGGACATCCGAGAATTATAACTGATTTTCTGTCTAGTAGTAAGTGCATACTGTGCACTATTTGTGTGCACTTCGGACAGAAAGTCGTAAATAAAACTTTTGTTTAATTTTATATCTTACCTTTTTTAACAGTCCAGGTATTTATCTCTACCTTATCATCTTTAGGTGAATTAAAAGCTAAAATCATAGAATCACCTTTCTCTTCAAAATATATAAAACGATCAGATTTTTTAGCTAGACATGGATAAACTTTCGTTTTATTCCACATTCCAGTTGTAATCTCACTTACAGACGACGTTGGTTGTTTTTTTCTTCGCTTCTTCTTTTCTGTAATTAGTTTTAAAATTATTTATTATTCATCAATATGCTTTGAGAAATTAGCATATCACAAATATACTCTTCAATAAAAGAAACGCACAGCCCATTTTTCATCATTTTTTTTATTTGAACGGGGTCGTTGTTTCCATAAATCTTACTTGTTTTTAATATCACTATGTAAAAATAAAAGAAATTCATGATTGGTTTTAAATGTTGGGTCACTAATTGCGACTGGTCATACTTTTTGCCGAAATTTGTTTTCGCTTGATTGCACCAAGAAACATTAGTTTATCAAACTCACAAGCTTTTCGCATGAAACTCAAATCTAAGGACTTTAAAATCCTGGGGTTCTCGGATTCAAAATCAGTTGCACATGTAAACACTCAACGAGCCAAGTGATGCCACATCTGAACGAAGAACAACACAACAACGCTATCGGTTGGTTACAAGCAGGTGAATACCAGACAGATAATAATAATAATAATTGATTTATATAGCGCCAACAATTCAACTCAGCGTGCCATGTTAAACACTCAGATGTAGCCAGGCTGCTGAATGTTTCCCAGAGTACCATTTCTCGCCTTTGGGATAGGTACCGACAGCAAAGATCAACACTTGCCCTGGATCGTCACAACAGCGACCTCGACCAGACAGTCCGTAGACGCCTACGTGCAACCGTATTACGAGCCAGGCGTCCCGTTACAGCTGTTGTTTTGAAATAGGCCGACACTGTCAAATTAGACTTCAATGGGTTCAGACACACAGGGTATGGCCACAGCAACGCTGGAGAGCAGGGTATACCTACGACGAAATGTCACTATGCGTTTCTTTTTTTTTGAAGAGTATATATTTAGAGCTTTTTACTGAAATGCAATAAATACGGATTCTATTCTGATTTGGCAATAATTACATGGTCGTTTTAATTGTGTGACGCATTGGAAAACATCTGGGGAAGCTAGCACCATCTTTTAATATTGCAGACTATTGTTGGTATCAGGATCAGGCACATTCTACATTCCTCGATGTTTAGTGGTGAAAAAAATGTTTTGTTGGGACATGCATGTACTCGCACAACCAGTGGGCCCTATAGTATATTATCTCCCTTAATGTTCATTCAATTGACTAGCAGGATACCCGGCTTCGCCCGGGGCCCAAATTCAATGGCCTAAAACATTCACGGGTCATGATGGTTAATTTGATTCCACATAGTGGCAATAAATCGAGAAGACAGGCCACGTGGGTCAAATAGAAACTTACGGCAAACGTTTAGTTCTGTTACAAGTGCTAACAAAGTTCTGTCCTTCGACTAGTCTGATCCGGCTTAGTTTTAGGAAATTTTTAGAACTTTCTAGAACATTCTCAAATTTTCCACAACTTTCAAACCTTTTCTAGACCCCCCCCCCCTCCCAACCTTCCATTTTTTCCTAAACACTGTTTCCAGAAATTTCTATTGTTTCTAGAAATTTTCAAATGACGATTCTTGAAAACTCGATCGCCTTAAATGGTAATAAACGATAGATTTCGATGAATTATTATGACCCCATTCGCCCGGGTCCCAGATTGCCCGGCGCAAAATTCGGCTGGTTAATTTGATACCACATGCGAGGGGTCCGGGGCTCTAAATCTAGAAAATGCGATCGCCTAAAATGGTAATAAACCATGTATTTCGATGAATTAGCTTGACCTCTTCACACGCCCGGGGCAAAATTCGCCCGAGGCACAAATTCGCCAGGGGCCTAAAACATTCACTTTCACGGGGTCATGCTGGTAAATTTGATACCACATATGGGGTGGGGGTGGGGGTTGGGTGGAGCGCGGGAACGAAGCGTGGTTCGACCGGGACCCAGGTCTAATTTGCCCGGGGCCCATATTTGATGACCTAAAACATTCACGGAGCCCTGTTCCCCAGTGTTGGTTAATTTGATACCACATATGTGGGGATGGAGCACGGCGACGAAGCGTGATGGGCAAACATGCACACACACATACACATATAGATAGTCCCCCCTTGTTGGTTTTACGCTACTTTGTCAAAATTTTAATTATCTATAATTTTCTTTTATGAAATCATATAAATTTTGGATATGATGTGTATAATAACATATATTTCGTTGTCGTCCACTTTTTGTAAATCACTATACTATCCACGAAAGTAAAATAGTTCGATAGAATGTCATTCTTTACAACTTTATGTTTTACTTGAAATAGACCAGAAATCGATTTTTGCATCCTTTATTTATTTGTCCTATACATAATCGAATTTTGTATTAGAGAATATCATCAACTTACTTGATTTATCTTTCTTCTTTCCATTTTTTGTTTTTTTGTTTTTCCTCCTGTTTTTGTTTCTATGTTTGTTTCGTTTAGTACATGTTTTACAACAATCACCCGGGACACGTCGGGGCTGTTTACACGGTAGTTGGTCGTCTCGTAAACATGTTTCTCTAGCGCAATCAACTTTACCATTCTATAAAAAAAACCCCAACAAATTAAAATTCTTAGGCGTATTATTCCCTGACCCAAATGTTTATTCCTTTTAACAAATCCTGATTAATGTCTAGTATGACTTACATTTTACTGGCAAAAAGTTCAAGGCCAAAGTAATAACAAATTAAGGAACCTAGCCAAACCGAATACACATATATATATAACTAGTCTTAGGTATTAAATACATAAAAAAATAAAAGTTTTTGAAAAAAGAACTACATGCATATATAAGCAAATGTCATTGAATAGAGCCATTGAATACAGCCATTGAATAACCTATGGTTGTATTCAATCACGTTAAACCCCATTTCATTTCATTAGGGTTTTACACTGCCTAGCTTGTGTGAAACACTATTGTTTTTGTTAAGATTATTATTCTTCTTATTAGGCTTTCAGACTTTCGACTGAAAGCCTATTGAGATTACTAAAATTATTATTATTATTAAGCTTTCATATGTATTACATATGAAAGCTTATTGTTTTTGTTAAGATTATTATTATTAAGCTTTCATATTTCATCCCGGAAGTAAAACAGAATTGTCAACTTCTTTAATATTGGTACGAGTTTCATGAAATTTGGAATGTATGTAGACCTCATTGACCCAACTTCAACGATACCATTAAAAATGCCCTAACTTATCTCCCCTTGGAGAAATTAAGGATTAAAGTTTTCCAAAAAATCGACTAAATATAGGTCAGATTGCCTTGAATTTTTTTTTCTGTACTAGCTACGACACTTCTGATTCGTTCACAGAAAATTGAGTTTACAGCCCTTTCCGGAAGTGCCACCATCTTGAAATGTGAAATATCGCTAAGGCTTTTTTTGATATTTTACTTACAGACAAGGGAATTATATTTTCCAAATCCTTGAAGGAAACCCCATAAATTGTAGGAATTAGAATTTTGATTTCTGGCAAATGATGGAAACCGTTTTGAATAGAAAATGAAAAATAGTGAAAAATCCACATTAATGGGCTTGAAAACATACACAATTGGTCGTGGCTGAAAGAATCTGTCTCCTATTACCGAAATTAATACATTTCAGGATAGCCTGGCTCATGGTCGAATGTTTGGTATTTGAATATTTCAAAAATTCGAATGTCGCCTTTGATATTTTCCGTGCCGACAAGGTTGTTTTCGAGTGTAGGCCCGCGCATGCCCGTCACAACCCTACTATCTTGCACACCAACTTGAAACCCACCGGGTATCTGGCTTATGGTCCCAAGCACAATTCTAAACCAGAAATTTTAGGGCCCGACCCATGGGGGCGAGCGGTGGCCATTTTCCCGGGGGTACATAAAGTAAAACAAAAAATAGAGATGGAACTAAGTATTCGATTTTAATTTGGAGACAATTTTCTGATGCGCCGAGGTCGGAAATGGGGGGGGGGGGTGTAGCCGAAGTTTCGAAGAGATTTTGTAAAAAAAATCCCTTCATAACAAACATATTTAGCTGCTTTTGACTTCGCGCATGCGCAACGCTGGAACCAAAGGTACCATGACTAACAAATTCCGGCTAGCAACTTTTCACGTTGGTACCTAGGTGCCCTGAAAATTTCAAGGCGATATCTGCATTCCTTCAAGTCGTTTGTTCTTGGCACGGCTCCAGATACGGCTTCCATAAGGGGAAAAAGGGGGAATTTCGCCACGACACCGGAACGGATTGTCCGAGAACCATGAAATTTGGACACAATACGCCTATTACCACCACGGATTCTGTACTTTACTACCATTTTGATCCGATTAAAAAAAAAGAGATTTATCAAAAAAAAACGATTTTCGGAATTGAATATTAGTTTTAATTAATTTTGAAATTGCAAATGCAACGGGATTTTATCGCCTCTTTCGTATGTGATAGGTATTAGTACTATACACATTATCCTTAAAAGACAATTTTTTAAAATGACCGCAACGATGTTTGCGACACTAAAATCCGAAATCGCCTATTTTGACGATCCATCGTCACGTACCAAACCACTCCGAAATATACCTAAAATCCCAAAATCGACCGTAATTTCTTTTGAATTCGCGCATGCGCCACGCTGGAACCAAAGGGACCATGACTACCAAATTCCAGCAAAGAACTTTTCACGTTGGTACCTAGGTGCCCTGATAAATTCAAGGCGATACCTGCATTCGTTCAGGTCGTTTGTTCTTCATACGGTTCCTGCCGTTCGGCTTTTTCCGCCATTTACGGCTTCAGTAAGGGCGAAAAAAGTGGAATTTCGCCACGACACCGGCACCGATTGTCCGAAAACCATGAAATTTGGACACAATACGCACATTACCACCCCGGACTCTGTGCCTTACTCCCATTTCGATCCGATTAAAAAAAAGAGTTTCAGCAAAAAAAAAAAAAAAAAGATTTAATGAATTTAAATTTGGTTTAAATTAATTTTGAAATTGCAAATTCAAAGGGATCTTATCGCCTCTTCCGTATGTGATTGCTATTAGTACTATACACATTATCCTTAAAAGACAATTTTTTTAAAATGACCGCAACACTAAAAACCGAAATCGCCTATTTTGACTTTACCATACATTAAATATTATATGCATGCGGTTAATTTTATACGCCGACATTGAAATGTGGTCGTATATTGTCGTCGCCCCCGTCCGGCCGGCTAAAGTTAGTATGCGATTACTTTAAATTTATACACAGTGTTTAAGGTCATGATTTTCAGCAATTTCCGATAATTACAGTCAGAGTTATGGCCCTTGATCACTTCAAAAAATCTTGTGGACGCTCTAGAGGCTAAATTTAGTATCCGATCGACTTTAAATTTATAGACAGTGTTTAAGGTCATGAGACGAAGAAGCCTATTGATTTTCAGCGATTTCCGATAATTACTGTAATAGTTATGGCCCTTGATCACTTCAAAAAATCTTGTGGACGCTCTAGAGGTTAAATTTTACTAATTCTTTTTTCTTTGAGTACCTTGAAACATTTACTTCAAATCGCTGTGATTTCGAACCGGAAGTTGAGACCAACTTGACAACTTCTTTAATAGTTGGCACGATTTGTATGAAATTTAGTATGTAAGTAGATCTTAACGATGCGACTTGAAAAATTTCATTAAAAATGTTCTAAATTATCTTCCCTTGATGAAATTAAGGATCAAATTTTTAAAATAAATCGACGAAATATAGGTCAGATTGCCTTGAATTTTTTTGTTCTGTACTAGCTAAGAAAGTACTGATGTGTACACAAAATATGAAGTCTGCCGATTGAACCAGAAGTGCCACCATCTTACGAATGCATTTGAACTACATTGCTGTAACTGTGTAACTATCGGATTTGAATTTTGATCTAGGTCAATTGATGGAAACCCTTTTAAACTGAATATGAGAAAAAGTGAAAAATCGACGATAACGGACATGAAAATGAAAACAATAGGCCGTAGTTTGGAGAATACTTCTCCTATTTTTGAAAATGAATACATTTCTGGATAGTCGGGATCAGGGTCCAATTTATGGTATTTGAAAATGTCACTTTTTTTAATTTTGTCGTTTTTCGTGCCGACAGAGTTGTTTACGAGTGAAAAATCGCATTAGTTTCGCGAGTTTTTGACCGATTTTAATTGTTTTTTTTTATCTTGTTGAGATTCTTTATATGACCTTTGACATGTAACAGGAAGTGATTGTGAATATGAAAGCTTAAATATCTGCTTAGCAGATCTAGTTAGTCTGAAAGCCTATTGAGATTACTAAAATTGTTATTAGGCTTTCAGACTTTCGTCTGAAAGCCTATTGAGATTACTAAAATTATTAGGCTTTCACCTTCGGTGAAAGACTATTGTTATTAATAAGATTAATATTATTAGGCTTTCACCTTCGGTGAAAGACTATTGTTATTACTAAGATTAATTAGGCTTCGGTGAAAGACTATTGTTATTACTAAGATTAATATTATTATTTTTTTTTATTGGGGGAAGCTAGATCTCAGCAACTGTAAGAGATAGAGGTTTGAAATTTGATTTTCTGTATGAAAAGTGGTGTGCAGCTACTGCTTAAAGCTATTTCAAAATTTGTGCGCATAGCGGAAATGCGTCAAATCTTTAACGTGTACGAAAATTGAAAATCGGCCATTATTTTCTTAATTCTCAATGGATTCTTCAGAAATTTACATTTTTGGATAGCTGGAGACATTTCTGAGCAGATAGCAGTTCAAAACTGTGGAAATTATAAACTTTGTCGCTCTCTTATTTTTTTGGTGAAAAATGGAAAATTTTCAACATTTTCTATTTTTCTTTGGGAATTTTGAAATTTCAGTTATATTTTTGGATAGCTGACATCAATCCGATTCCAACAATATAAGTTTTGTTCTGAAATGTTAACCTTGATTTTTCACTTTTTTTCGCATTTTGGTCAAATCGTAGAGTTCTTATTTTTTTTTAAAACGGCTTCAACGATTTTTCTGAAACTTCAGGAATATGAAGTCGAAGGACCAAACCAGTCCATGAACTATAAATGAAAATCCTCTAATCTCCAGAAGTGGTCAAGAAAGGTATCCAAACTTTGACAAAATTCTGAAAAATGGGTGTCTGTGCGGAAAATCCGATGTATCAATTGTGTTTTTGCCGATTAGTTAAAGTTTTATATCGTTTAATAGCCAATTGAATTGTCTATCGGATGGTACTAAAGCGGCAAGATTCTATCAAATAATAAAAAAGTTATGTGACTTTTAATAGTAAGGTATTTTGCGATTTCGAGCAACTTTAGACGCATGTTTCTCGGAAACGCCTCCAACGATTTTTTAAAAACTTTCTCAATCGAGAGACTAATGGGTTGGTTGTTTTGTGAAACTACTGTATTATTTTTTGAAATGTCAGGGGTAGCCGAAAAAAGAGATCGAAAATCGAAAACGTCGTATTTTTACGATTTGGAGGACTATTTCTCGAAAAGTCAAAATAATTCATTTTTGGAACTTCTTCTACAGAGTTATACATAAAACGATTGTACAACAGTCCCAAATATCAGG